GCATTTGTGGTGATGGGAGGGGCCTCAAGTCGGCCCTGGGAAATATGAGGCCCATCAATGGCGGCCTGCATGGTGTAGAGCTGAGCTGGTGGGTTCTTCTGTTGGTTTTGCTGGAACAGCTGGTAAGTCTTGTTTTGACAGTTCTTGGATAGGTGACCCTCACAACCGCAACTGTAGTATAGATTTGTGCCTTGACGACACTCTCCTAAATGCATTTTCCCACATTTAGAGCAAGGTGGAATGTTCTTGACTTGTTTGGACGGCTGACTTCCAGGTTGGCGGTCATTTCGATTCTTTTGATTAGGAAAGTTTCCTTTCCTCTTGTTGTTATTCCACTGCCCTACTTGGGACTTGCCATGATTTCCAGAGTTCCCATGATTCTGGTTGTTGTGGCTCTTAGTGGCTTCATTCTGGTGGGCCTGTTCTTCCTTACGCTTGTTTAAGTGGTACTCAGCACGAAGGGCACCTTTGACACATTCAGCTGTGGTGGTAGGCGGAGTGATTCCATTGTCAACAATTAATGCAATCTCGGGTCTAAGCATCGTGATCATCCTCCTTAGCCGCTCCTCCTCAGTTGGCACCATAGTGGGACATAGTCGTGCCAGTCAGTTAAACTGATTAATAGCTTCATTCACAGATAAACCCTCTTGGCGAAAATTGTTGAACTCATCATAATACTTCCTGGTCACAGACATGTTGAAGTACTGCTCGTTAAACTCTTGAAGAAAGTCTTGCCAAGTCATCTAATCTACATCTCTGCTCAGTTCTACTCCTTCCCACCAAATCCTAGCATCATCCATCAAACAGTAAGAAGCACACTTCACTTTCTCATTCTCATTTAAGTCCATGAACCCTAGTACCAACTCAATAGACTTCAACCACCCTTGAGCTACTAAAGGGTCAGTTGACCCATGGAATTCTTTAGGCTTCATCTTCTTTAACCTCAAGAATAGAGGCTCGAGATTTCATATAGCATGAGCTCCTCTATGTTGCCCTGGTTGTGGAACCGGTGAATCAGCTGGAACACAAAATATCATGATAGGAACACAAACCTTTAAAACAATTTTTCTAATATTGTGTTCTTAAAAGAATAAAGGAAGATAATGAAAAATTCTATGGTGGCTAGGGCTCTTGAGAGAAAGTGACAGAGAGACGTAATAGAGAGAAAGATAGAGAGCAGGAGCTTGAGAGGGAGAAAGCGTAAAAAAATTTTCTAATGGGATGGAGGTGAAAACGTATGATTTAAAAGGAGTATTTTTTTTTCCTTACTTTTGCCTCCTTTGACATCCACGCTAATCCCCCTTTTCTTGCATTGACAATGTAAATGGCTAAACTATATCAAAGGAAAAGCTATATATATCCAAAGCATGAATCTATTCATTTTACATCTTGTTGTACGAGTATGGGTATTTTTGCAAGTTGTCTACTTACTGCCCACTAAGCCAAATGCAGAAAGAATCATGCAATATATATCAACTCAATTAAGAAAATTAATTGACTTGAATTGGGTGATTTATGGGCTTTCAATGAGGTAGAAATCGTGTTGCAAACCATGGTCAAAGTTTCTTTATACGGTCATTGACTCCAAAGACATTAACTAATCCTCACCCTTAACAATTCATCATAGAACTAATCATCACCAAAAAAAAATGTAATAACATAAACGGTGGTTGGCTATTGATATTTAACATATATAATATATATATATATACATAGCTATATAATATGTATTTTGTAAAAACCATATATCCATATAATCTATCAATGGTATTAAATCAACATACATATCCATCAAATCATCATATAAAATTTAACAATTTGGCATGAACTTGTTCTTACACCACGAGTCCTCGTCGCGTTCACCTGCAGAATATAACTTAACGTGATGTTAGAATTAACTAATTATAACACCATAACATCATTCATGTTAATTCCTAACGTCTATTTCTACAAATTTGTCAGTTAGAAAAATGGGTGTTACATAATCACAGAATAACTAGCTCAAATTTTCCTCATCAACAAATATTTGATTTTTTGAAATTGATTATAATTTTATTTTGTTTCCATTTCTTTGTAATTTTCCATTTTTGTGAATTTGTTTCCTTATTCGTCAGGTAGCTCCTGAACACTATAAACAAAGGGGTTGGCTTAAGTAGAGTATTTTCATATTCAATTTTCTGAGGCCTTGTTGTCATTCTCATATTTTCTTTCTAGAACTTGTGAGAATGTTTTGTAAGCTAGGCTAGAGTTCTTTTGGTGTGGTTAGAGATAAACTTTTATTAATGAGCTAATTCGGGTTTTAATTTTTTGTGTTGTAATGTTTACTATTCGAATGAATTAAATCTCATCTATTTTTCATTTATTTTTCAAAAACAAAAAAAAAAGTGATAAGAAAGAAAAGAAAATATTTTCCTTTGCATTTTTGGCTCTTTGTTCATTTCTGTAAATTTCTATTTGACTTGAATAAATCCCAAAAGCTGGATTGTGGTAAGAATGGTGGAATGTTCCGAGGAGCTGATTAACCTATCTTTGGATCAATGTTCGTTTGATTATTTGTCCTAAAATTTTCCTTCTTCACACTAAGTGTTGATTGTTCCATGTCCAACTCCATGAGAGAAAAACCTCTGTACTCAAAAATTGTTGACACCCGTGAGATCAATGGAGTTGAGACTTCTACTTGGTGAATTTTTTAAAGATGTATGTGTTATGGTTTGTGGTAAGAAGGTTACGGTTTGGAGCACATACACGCTCCCTTTGTAGTCTACTATGCGAGCAGAACTCTAAACAACGCTCAAATGAACTACTCCACTATGAGAAAGAGTTGCTTGTCGTCGTCTTCGCTCTGGACAAGTTCCGTGCATATTTGATCGGTTCTCCTATCATGATTTTCATAGAACATGCAGCCCTTAAGTATTTCCTTTCCAAAAAGGATGCCAAGGCACAATTGATTAGGTGGATCCTTCTTTTGCAGGAATTTGATTTGACAATAAAGGATAAGAGGGGAGTCAAAAATGTAGTGACAGATCACCTGTCTCGACTTGAGTTTAATGATTCTGCCAATGAACCTGCCATCAGAGATGACTTCCCCGATGAACAACTCTTTGTTGTCACAAAGCTATCGTGGTATGCACACATTGTCAACTACTTGGTGACCAATGAAATTTCATTCACTTGGAGTGCACAAGATAAAGGGAAGTGTTTGGTCGAGGTTCGCAACTTTTATTAGGATGATCCGTATCTGTTCAAGTACTATTCTGATTAAATCATGAGGCGTTGCATTCCTGAGGATGAGGTTACTAGTATCCTGAACTTTTGCCATCTCTACTTGGTTGTTCTCCTGTTATATTAAAAGTTATCTTTACTCATTTTTTTCCTTCAGTGCTTTCACAGAATATTTTCAAGTGGTAACCCTTCTCACTCCTCCTTCTCATTTTATTTTTATTTTTTTACTTTTTTCTATTATTATTATTTTTATTTCTTAAATGTTTTGTCTTTTATTTTTTTTTATCAGAGATTACGCGTTTTGATGCGCTATCAAACTTATAAAGCTATTTCTCACGGGCATAGCACGTAACTCAACTAGTATCATTAAAAAAATAACATATGATTTTATCCCAAGAATGAATGAAACAAAACAAGTACTAAATCCAATTGTCTTCAAATTAGGAGAACGAGCAAAACCAAAACAAACACAAAAGGCATCCCGTTGTCAAATACGCGTTAAGCATTATTGGGGCAGAGGCCTGGTATAATGTGCCACTGTTGACGCACAGGGGACTTATGAGACAGAAAGAAAGAATTTAAAAGTCGTCACCGCACGCAAAAAGAAATAAGAACACATCCTAAGGAAAAAAAAAAAAAAAAAAGAAATAAGAACAAAGAAAATGTGAATGAAAAAAATACCCCTTCGAGAACAACACTCGTAAGGAAAGAATATAAGTAATTTTAAAGGTGAATTCCTACAAATGCTGCCTTTTAAGCAAATGGGAAGAAGTCTTTGAAAAACAGATGGTCAATGTTGTAGGTTGACTGGCATATAACATTGTCATTGGGTTGAATTAGCAAACCATTTTATATTAGGTTAATTTTTCAACACTAAAACCAAAAAAAAATCCTTCAAGAGTCTTAAGACCCGTTTAATTCACTGATTTAAGTTTATAATTCAAGTTAAGATGTGACTTTATATAAGAGCTTTTTATTGTAGTAAAAAAGTTAGATGTGACTGTTTCTGAGAGCTTTTTACTGTAGTAAAACTCGAATTCTAAAATTAAATTGGTGAAATGAATAGAACCTTAAATTTAGAGGTTAAAATTCTAGAACTAGTCGACAAAATCCACCAAAATCAATATGCAAAATCTGATATTTTTAGATTATATGGGGTTTGAGGACTTTTTTGTTTAGCTTGGCTTGGGTTCGACAAATATGAATCTAAACGTTTTATGTTAGTTTATTAATTGACCTATAATTTGCATACCTAAATCCACCCTAATAAAACTTAGGCTCCGTTCATTTTACCGATTCGAGTTTAGAATTCGAGTTTTGCTACAGTAAAAAGCTCTCAGAATCAGTCACATCTAACTTTTTTGTTACAGTAAAAAACTCTCACATAAAGTCACATTTTAATTCGAATTAAAAACTCGAATAAGCGAACTGAACAGGCCCTTAGACTACACTTACCAATCGTGCAATTTTTTATGATCAAAATTTTATTAATTTGCTATCGACTCGACGTTCAACAATAGGGGAGTTGTAATGTGAATGACAAATTTTTGGAAAATAGACTACGAAGAATACAAGTCCCTTAACTAAAGAATTTGCCAAGCAAAAAACACTCTCTAGAATCTCTACCTATTTTATCATGTGTGTTTTTAATTATTTGTCAAGAAATTCCCTTGTTTTCTTCCCCATTAAGTCGTTACCGTGATGCCACCATACCGCGGCGGCCAATAAATAATTAAAAAAGAATTTACAACAGATAGCAAATAATAACAACAACAAAATTAAACAAAAATAAATAGATCAATAAAAGAAATCCTTTTCGGCAGCTTTCTCACGAAACATTTCCAAGAAAAATCTCACTTTTTTTTGGACATGTTACATGGTAATGGTCAACACCTGTAATATGCTTGTTGTACATATTTGAGTGCTTATTCTTTTTCCAGCTCCTTTTGGTGGATCTGGTCAGAAGCAAAGACCCATTATTTTCAAGATTGAAGATTTCGCAGAAGGTGCTAATATTTTTCTTAAAATTTTACCTCCTCAATCATTCAAGATAAACCCATTATTTTTCTTTCTTTTTTTTTTTTTTTTTTTCAATTCATTTGTTCTATTCCGTTCCTAAGTTTCAATTTTTGCTGAAAAAAATTTGGTGGGTCTTCGAGAATTTGCTTGTACAAGCTCGGAATATATCAAAATTGGGGGTTTATTTGGGAAAGTCGAATTGGGTCGGTTTCAGAGGAGGGAAATTTGAAAGCTTTGGCGGGGTTTTGGCGACCAAGGCTTTTCTGGGTTTTTTGTTTTGTGAGAGGGGTTTTTGGTTTTGATGAAATGTTAAGTGTATTACGATTGAACAACATATGGGTGTTTTAAGGACAAGTTGTTTCATAGTTTTGGCTATTTTGCTATGTGCTTGGTCATCAAGAAGCTCGGATGAAAAGAAGAACTCAGAGGAAGTGCTTCTCAGGCAACTAGTTGATCCAGCATCTGGGGAAATTGATGGAAACTTGGTAAGAAATCATATATTTTTTTTTAAATATTTTTTTATTGTATTATTTGTAAAATGATTATTACAGCTAGTTATACATTTTGAGTAGTACATTTGATGAGTTTATTTGTATTAGGTGGCTTGATTATTATTTTCGAATTTGAATTAACAGCATAACTCAGGTGGGAATTTTGTGGGACCACATTCTGTTTATGCTCCAATTTTTATATGAGAAATCATTGTAAATGTGTTGGGTGAAATAAGCTATAAGTTACTGATTGCACCAACCAATTAGGACGTCTAAAGAATTAAGGGGAAAAAGAGGAATTGTTGGAGATCATATACCGGCTGACTCAAGTTCTATTTCTTTTTTGGTTCACTTTTCATTGTTATGAAATGCTTTTGAATATAAGTCTGTTATGCTTCTTTTGAACGTCCATTTTTATGTGTCATTTGTGTCAATACTAACTTTGAGTCTAGAATGAGAAAAGCTGGTATCTGTGAATTCATGCTGGTATCTGTGAATTCATGCTTGCATCGATGCCGTAGTTCTTAGGAATTTGCATGAGTAGACAGGGAACTTATCACGATTTTGTGGATTTCAGGCGGAGGAATTGTGGTTTTATTGCAAGTTGGATGTGATCCATTTGAAGGAATTTGTCAAAGAACTAGACTTAAGGTTTCCGAAGGAAATATTCAGCAGAACATATGGAATTGATCCAAAGGGCCTGTCACTGGCAAGAGAAAACATCGAGAAATCGATTAGTTTTCTACATCCTCAGGTGAAGCACACCCTTTTGGAGTGTTTACAAAAGCATAATATTCTCTTACGCGATTCCGGAGAAGATAGCGGCTCAAGGAGTTGGTATTCCAAGTATTTCGAGTCCATATTTCCCGGAGATAATGTTCCTAGAAGATATCTCCAGACCATCTCAGGTGCCCCTGCCCCCTCTTCTGCAACTGGATCACCTAGTCCTAGTCCAGGACCAGCACCTTCCCCTTCTCAACCTCCTAGTTCTGATCCTCCTGCACCGTCTCCACGAACACAATTTTCCCCCCCTGTTGTTAATGATCCAGATTTGGGTGTTCCGCCTGCTGAAAACTCTTCTTCCAGTCCTGGATCAGATGTACAGCCAGATAAGAAAAGTAACAGCCACAGAGCAGTTATAATTGCTGTTGCTGTAACTGCATCTGTGACATTTGTAGTTGTAGCGCTGTTCTTTTTATGCTGTGGTGGATTCTGTAAACCTGGGTCTAAAGTAGGAAGAAATGACGAGAGGCCCTTATTAAGCCTAAGCTTAAGCGACTTCTCTGTTGGTATGCATTTCCCTTGCGTCTTGTAATCACAATCTATTATAGTCCGTCACTGTTTTGATAATGATTTCTAACTTTCGGTCTTGCAGGATCATCACCTAAGTTTTATGCATTTGGGAATTCAACAAAAGAAGAGGGGCTTGGGCAGCAATCATTTGGGAATAACTCAAGTCAGAACAGAATGGGGTCTTCCTTGGATGGAAATTTTCATATGGCCTCTAGTGTTATCCATACTTCATTCAATAATACCGTGTCTACCACAGGTGCTTCTGAATTCAAAACATTTGATGTATTTAACAATACTAATCCGCAGGTGCCAAATCCTCCTCTAAAGCCTCCGCCGGGAAGGGTAGTCCCTACCCCTATGGGAATGGGTCCTCTTAAGCCTCCTCCTGGCAGGGCCGATCCTCTCCCTCCCGAGCCACCTTCTTCATTTAAGCCTCCTTCCAGCAAGCCCAGTCCTCCTCCCCGTCCTTCTAGCAAGCCCCCTCCTCCCCCTCCTGTACCACAGCCCTCCCAGAAACCTGCTGGTAGCCAGGGTCCTCCTCCTCCTCCCAAGCCATCTCCGCCTCCACCCCCATCTCCGTTGCCTTCTGGTTCCAGCACTGGTCCTCGCCCACCACCACCACCACCTCCAAAAGGTGGTGTTCCTCCTCGACCTCCTCAATTGCCCCTAGGTCCAAAGGGAGCTAGGCCTCCGCCACCTGCTCCTAAACACCCATTAAACGCTTCTTCTAGTGAGGGAGCTGACTTGGAGGGCGAAGCTGATGCTCCTAAAGCCAAGCTGAAGCCATTTTTTTGGGATAAAGTTTTAGCAAACCCTGATCATTCAATGGTTTGGCATCAGATTAAATCCGGATCATTTCAGTAAGTTGCAAACTCTTTTTGCCCTCGCTTCATGTGAATTATTGGATTAAGTATTTTTCCTGAATTTTTCATATTCTCATTATGCAGGTTTGATGAAAATATGATAGAGACTCTTTTTGGTTATGCTGCTACCGATAAGGGTAAAAGTGAACAGAAAAAAAATTCTCCATCCCAGGATCCTTCACCCCAGTTTATTCAGATTATTGATCCAAAAAAATCGCAAAATCTGGCAATTCTTCTGCGGGCATTAAATGTGACAATAGAAGAAGTTTGTGATGCACTCCGTGAAGGTAAAACTTCTTTCCTTTTTTTCTTGACAATCCAATGCAATAGGACAGCCGTATGAATGGATCAAGGAATAAATTATGAGACTACCGAGATAATTTGAATAATTATTGTTCCACGTTCAAGATAAAGAGACGCAGGGCAAATAAATTCCTTTTTCTGTTCACTATTGAGAGAGCATTTTTTAGCAAATGATCTGTAATAAATCTAAGACGTGGAAGTGGATCGTGGAAAGAGAGGCTATAATGATTTTGTCCTGGAAATTCTGATTTGTGCTCATTGTTTATTGACAAAATTTAACATCAGGGGAGTGGTAGTAATATTCATTAATGGATATACTGAATATAATGAAATTGCTTTCATTTCAAAAGGAGCAATTATTAAGAAAAAGCTAACACAATAAAGATTGTACAGAGATTGCATTGGTTGTTGTACTTTTAAGCATGTTTTGAAGTGTTTTATTGTACTTCTTGGTGAATCAGGAAACGAGCTTCCCTTGGAATTCCTTGAGAGCTTGTTGAAAATGACACCAACAACCGATGAAGAACTAAAGCTTAGAATGTTCAATGGAGAGCTTTCTCAACTTGGGCCTGCTGAGCGGTTCCTTAAAGTGTTGGTTGACATACCATTTGCTTTTAAACGATTGGAAGCATTGCTTTTCATGTCTACGCTTACCGAGGAGGTTGCCATCGCTAAAGAGTCCTTCGCAACTCTAGAGGTAGTAAATTTGATTACTAAATTTTGTCTTTCGAATTGTTTTACTTTCATTTTGTGTTTTAATCTTTTTCTCAACCACTGTTTTGCAAGTTTCTCATATTAAGTGCCAGAAACTGTAAAGTGAGAAAATATGGTAACACTAACAACTATTCTTATAGAGGCATAAAAGGAATTTTGACTGTGTTAATCTAGTATGAAATATTGATTACATGCATAATACATGGACATATACGTTGTCATGACGTATTGCACTATGCTACTTTCAAACCAAAAGTAAGAAAAGAAAGAGAGGGGAAAAGGAGAGAGAGGCAAACTATATGAACACGGGAATAATAATTTTGTCAAAGCATGATGTGGAGTTGGTATTGACCAGCTTACAATAGAACTTCTGATAGAACGAAGAAAGGAAGAAAAAGAATACAAAATTAGTTTCCAAACTGGAAAACCATAATCTACTTCCATTTTTAACACAGTCCAATCCCTGTAGTCCCAGGTTCAAGTCTCCAAACGTTTTTATATGATTTTAACTGACTACTCGGCTGAAATTGTTGGAGGGAACAATGTTATTAGCAATAATTTCAGTATATAGTTACAAAGATCAGATTAGGTACTATAATTAAGATATTCAAATTCATTTGGTCACATTGCAAATTTGGTTGCCAGTTGGATGTGGAAGCGGCATATGATGATTCAAGCCACATGACATTATATATATGGAAATGCTCTATTTAATTATTCTAGAAAAAATATCCATGGCTTATGTGGATCCTTTATGGCCTTGTCAAACGAGAATATAATCTTTGCATTTGCTTTTTGTTGTAGAGTTTCTTTACTTCGCTTTCTTTGCTTAAGTTGATGTCTATAAGAATGACAAACATTTAGGAAACAAAGTAGATGAGACTCTGACCATTGTGAAGTATCTCATGCATAGATAAATTTTCTCTGTCAATTTCCTTCTAAATGTGCTCGCCTTAGTGGCACCTTTGGTTCTACTTCACACCGAATTATCTGCTTGTAAGTTATTTGCAATGAATAGTATATGTATCACATTATGTTTCTTTGCTCTGTTGCAGGTAGCTTGCAAGGAACTCAAAAACAGCAGACTTTTCCTCAAGCTGCTGGAAGCTGTTCTCAAAACTGGAAATCGCATGAATGACGGAACATTTCGTGGCGGTGCACAAGCGTTCAAACTTGACACACTTTTAAAATTGTCAGATGTAAAAGGAACAGATGGAAAGACAACACTCTTGCACTTTGTTGTTCAGGAGATTATCCGCTCCGAGGGCATAAGAGCTGCCCGTGTAGCCAGAGAAAACCGGAGCCTCTCCAGCATAAAATCAGACGATCTTCTTGAAGAATCTTCAAATGATGTGGAAGAGCATTATAGGAGTCTTGGTCTTCAAGTAGTTTCGGGTTTGGGAAACGAACTCGAGTATGTCAAGAGAGCGGCACTTTTGGATGCTGACAGCTTAACAGGAACCGTAGCCAAACTTGGTCAGTCATTGCTAAAAACCCGGAAATTCTTGAATTCAGAAATGAAGAACTTGGAAAAAGATGGTGGCTTCTGTCAAACACTTGAAAACTTTGTGCAGAATGCCGAGGTGGAAATCTCAGTGCTTTTAGAAGAAGAAAAAAGAATCACAGCTCTAGTGAAGAGCACCGGTGACTATTTCCACGGAAATGCAGGGAAGGATGAAGGTTTGCGATTGTTTATCATTGTTCGAGATTTATTGATAATGTTAGATAAGACATGCAGAGAGGTGAGAGAGGCACAAAAAAAGCGCTCAAAAGTACCGAAAAAGGAAACATCTTCCTCAGATGTACGCCAGCTTGCAGCTCCAACATCTACCTCTGATACTCGCCAGTCTCCTGTCGATCTACGTGAGCGTCTTTTCCCGGCTATCACAGATCGACGAATGGACAGTTCTAGTTCGGATGACGAGAGTCCATAGGTTTTGATTTGGAAAAAGGTATTGAGATTAAATGCTTGGTTGAGGGAATTATTGTTGATTACTTAAAAGATGTCTAATATGCGAAGATGTTCTCTGATTGTTCTGGCTGTTGTTATGATGATAGAAGATTGAACATTGTGAAAACCCGTCGGTTCTTTCATCAACACCGCTCCATAATCGACACCGCTCCATAGTCGATCAAGAGAAGTCCTTCGAGACGATTTACCCGTTTCACCAAACATCAAAAGAGGAAGTGACCATTGTGGACCTCATGGATTTCGTCTGTAGGAAGTCCAACATGTGATTAGTCATTAATTTTGTCTCCTATGATTCTTTTTTAGAAGTTCCTTTTGTTGATTCTTTTTTTTTTTTAATGTAAAAATTTGTAGCTAGACAGATGAGATTTAGTTGGAACTTTATGTAGTTGATTTTATTCCTTTTCCCTTCGAGGAAATTCGATCTTTTAGCCTTGAAATTCGAACAAACAAGAAGGAAAGTACCGTTTTTACACATCGCCAAAGTACTTTTTTGAAAGCGAAAGCCAAGATTTATTTATTTATTTATTTATTTTAATAGACTAGTCGATATATATGTGTTTGTGTTGTTTTTTTCAACTGGTTTTTTCTTTGCAGCATATTCTCACTCTTTTTTTCTTTCTTGATTTCATGGTTTCTCCTTTTCTTCACTTTTTTTTTTGGTCGATACCAGTTTTTTAGGGTTTTTATATTGCCCTAAATTCTTCATCAGAACTGCCACCAAGGCAATCTTTCTAAACCAAGGCAATATAAAACAATAAAGGAATTGCATTCCTCTAATCATTAAACATATGCTTTTAGCTATTATATTATTTTTTTAGCTTTTTATTTTTTTACTTCAAATTTTATTCGAGGGTTTCAATTCAATGCAGGACGTTCATCCCCACCGTCCCTGTCCTCTAGTAACAAAGAGAATCACGGAGTCCAAAGAACACAAGCTAACTGTAAGTGTATTTTGGGATTGCTTTCGAAACTCCTAAAAATACTTTGCAAAATAAACGATACAACTATCGTGTTTAGTAAAGGTGTACAAAAACACTTTGTACATAAATCAATGTATTTTTTAAGTTATTTTGAGAAGTTAGAATGTATAGGTTTTAGATTCTTCTTTCTGTTTTTGCTTTTGTTTTAAGTAAAAGTAGTGCTTCTATTAAAAGCACAGCAATTCCAAGCAACCCCAAACTGGCTTTATATCTCATTGATGATCTCTGCATCAGGCTGTAATCCATCCAATTCTGACTGTGGTCTGCATATTTTTTCAACTTTCTGGGAAGAAAACATTTGGAATACATTAGACATGTTCAAATCAAAGTAACCTGGGGGGGGCCCCAAAAAAAAAAAAAAAAAAAAAAAACAAAGGCACCTCATGAATTTCTTCAACGTTTTTCAGTTGGGTGGTCGGTTCTTCAATATGTATCTCGTCACGTGAACGAGATTGCATGATCTGTGGAAAAAAGAATAATTATATAAATGATAACATATCTTTCTTTGTTAAACAAATTTGGTACTAGCAGATGGTAGTAAGAAAAATTCTCAAGACTAACATCCTAATAAACAAGAGCACTTTGGAGAATCTTATTTCTTTAACAATATTGCTCATTCTAATTTGGCCACGGTATATCAAAATAAATTGGTCAGATGCCGTATTTATCACTTTAGAATCTTTTAGGCCCCGTTTGGTAAGAGGACTCTAGAACCAGAACCATGATTCTGGTTCAAACTAGCATTTGTTTGTAAAAAATAAAAAGTAGTTCTGGTTTAATCCAACAAAACCAGTGTTTAAACTCTGATGCAATGTTTTAAACTAAAATCACCATAAAAGATAAAACCACCTCCCCCCTTAGTTTTGACTGATTCAAACCCATTGTTCTAATTCACATGGTTTAAATCTAAAGATTCATGGTTTGAACTCCATTCATGATTCACATGTTTTGTTTGATAATGATGGGAATAATAAAGTAATGAAATTGAAGGATATTTAGATCATTAATTTTTTTTTTTTTTCATTTTCTACAGTTCATTATCAATCTTATAATGATATTTTGTTTTCATTATCATTCTCGTGTATATTATGGTTTTCATTATCATCCTTAATGATTCACTATCATTCTTTCTCATTTTTTTTGTTTATCCTTAATGACGTTTCCCTTTCTTTCTCATACTTTGCTCCGGGGTTTGGCTGTGGATGTCCGGTTGAGTAGCGCTGTCTAGGGATGCCGGATGTAGGGTTTTTTCGGTTTGGAAGAAGAATGAAAGATGAAATCTTTTTTTTTTTTTTTGGGAAATGAGTTTATTGGTTTTCTTTTAATCAGCATTCAAAAATTAAAATGCGCCTTATACTGTATATGGTATGTTTCATTAATTGTATTTTTTCAGATTTCATTTTATGATTTAAACTTGGTTGAACAACTTTATGTCATATTTAGGCTATGTTTATTTGAGTAATGGATGTTGTAAACTTTTAGATGTGATAAATGATGAATATTTCATGTTGTGTTTTGTTTTATATGAATGTCTATTAATTTGTAATTTTAAAGGTCGTAATCTGTGGAATCTGTGAATTCAATCTGCAAAATTTAAAAAGGTTTTGGATCGGACATGGATTGAGATTTTTCCAATTCGAAGGCTTTGAATCAGACACAGATTGACCTCTAATCCGCGGATTCCAATCTATGAACACCCTTAATAAAATTTGTTTTCTTGTATGTTTGAGAGAAATGAGACAAAATACCACTTAGAGGGCATGAGTTTTAATTTTTACCCTTACTCTTAATTAATTTTTTTAATTAAATAATTATATTAGATAAAAATAGTATTAATTAAGAGTAAGAGAATCAAACTAATGCACTTTAAAAACTGATTGACTTTAAAAGTAAGTTAAACAATTTTCTCAAATTATTAATTACATTTAGTTTGGACTTTGTTTTTATGCATGAAATCATAATCAATAAAACTTCATTTTTCTATAATTTTTAAAATAAGAGACCTTTTATTTAATAGTTTTCTTTTTCTCTCTCTGTCGGGTTTGAAAATTTTAATGTCTTTTCATAATTAAACAATGATGAACGTTTCAACAATTTTATTCGAGGCGTTTCGTTTAAAGAAAAAAGTACAAAAGCCATTAGATATCGATTCAAAGTTTCCCCTAAACAAAAAAAAGTAGCAAATAAACATATAATAACTATCGAGGATGTAGTAAATAGCGTATTTATAAAAATTAAATTAAATTAATAGTATATTTTATTTATTTAAAATAAATAATAGTTTATTGTGTAATTATTTTATTTATAATTAATAAAAAAATTCATGTAAATAAAGATTTTTTATCAGTCTTAAATGAAATATTTATACAATAAACTACTATTTATTTTAAATAGTTTTAAAATATGTGATTTAGTTAATTTAATTTCAAAATTCTGCTATTTACTACAATTTCCATAATAACTATTAAAAGAGTTGTTTGGATTAATAAGCATTAAATATTTGTGGTAGGCCTTAATACTTTTAGTCTCTTTGTTTCGATGGTGTTTTTGGTATGTCAGTCTCTATCGACTGGAGTTACCTACCGGCTTTTGCGGTGTTTGTAGTGTGTTTGAAAGAGCCAATTTTGTGCTCGCTTCGTTGCGTGCCTCTTCGGTTTCTCTTTGTTGAAACTCGGTGTATGTGTTACCTCCTTGATCATTTCAATCGAATTTCCGTAGTCGTTATTGAATCGGTAAATGCATTTAGGTCTTACGCGTCTGAATTAGTGAGTGTATTTTTAAGTAGAATGCATTATAATAGGTTTTGTTATTATAAAACGATAATACCTAATAATTAGGTGATCATGATTCCTCCAAGTTTCAATCTCCAAGACTGTTGTGGCTCCCAAAAATTACTGATGTTGTTTCGCCTTTATATAAAGCCTTAGTTAATTGAGCATTAACTTAGAAATAAGAGATGTTTAGTTGGGGCCTTGGCTCAATTGAGGCCTCAGGCAATTGCCTCCCTGAAATGGTCTTTTTAATGCGTTAATAACATAAATTCTAACAAACTGTGTGATCGCATTATCTCTTTTCTCTATGTGTTTTAATAAAAATTCTAATTAAAGATGTTAAATTAGATTAATTTAAAATTCTAGAGGAAAATAAAAATTTTTAAAATCAACGCATTTTTTAAAATGTAAGGGGAAAACAAAAATTATCCTAGAAATTAAAAATACAAATAAGAATAGTCCTTATCGTTATCTTTATATTTAAATAATTACAATCACAGATAACAATAATTGAAGCGAAGAATCGTAACTTGGTTGCCTTGCAATTCAACAAGGAATCTTACAAGCAAGATATTTAATCCACTAACACGTATCTTAGTGGCTGGAGACATTTATGATACGTATTTAGATGAGAATGTTTATTTGAGAAAAGTGATAGTAAGGAAAGGATATCAATCACTACCGATAAATGAACTTCAATTCATAGTATATCACCACACAGTGAGTTGATAGTGAGTGAGGCTGCAGAAAATATAAATTTTCGCTTTATATACTAGAAAGGGAAACCAATTTTGTAAGAAGGTACAGATTTTTCTTAAGGGACGTTTGGTTCATGGATTCAGAACCATGATTTAGAATCATGATTCAGAATTATTCTCGTTTTACGTGTGTTTTTTGTGAGTAAAAATATTGTAACGAGTCACGAACCATGATTAGAATCATGGCATGAATCTTCCTTCCAAACGTCTGATTGGGGTGATCATAATGCTGTCATTTATTATTGAAGAGGAAATTGAGAGGTAGGAAAAGTTGCACTTATTCTAGATGGCAAAGTTCTTAGTTCTTACACCATTTAAAAAAAAAGATTGGGGTGATCATAATGCTGTCATTTATTATTGAAGAGGAAATTGAGAGATAGGAAAAGTTGCACTTATTCTAGATGGCAAAGTTCTTAGTTCTTACACCATTTAAAAAAAAAAGAAAAAAAAAAGTTATTCACATGCCTTCATCTTCGGAACTACAAATTTTTTCAGCTTTGACTCATCCAGAATTTCGTCAGTGAATGGCGACTTCGCCATCCTCTTAGCTTCTCTGATCGCCAGCTCCGCCGCTGTCCTTCCAGACAATCCTTTACTTTCTTCATAATGTCTTCTTCATCTTGAACCGCGAATCTTGCGCTTGGGCTTATAATTAGAATCTTTTTGGGAACAGATTCAATGACATCTTGTATTCGATGTTTTATGCTCTTTTCTTCTTCCTTACACGACTTTTCAACTAAAATCCTCACTTCGTCAAAATCAGCTTCTTGCTCCTCCAATTGCTCTGGTTGTTTTACTTATTTCTTCCATCTGAGCCATTAACTTTCTGATCGAAGGATTCCCACATACGGCGCCAAATTATTAGAGTCAAAATCCCCATCTCAACCCCAAATCAACTAAAATGACCTTTTTTTCTCATTGAAACGATGCTCTCTCTCTCTGAATTCTCAAAGTTTCTATGAGTTTGTGTTTAGATGTGTACATATAGGTGGGATTTTATTCGTCTTTTCATTGTAAATGCATAGAAAAAAATCATCTCAATCAGAATTAAAACGAAAAAGTTGACATTTTTAAGCATAGAAAAAATACTATTAATTAACTTGAGTTTGAGTTTATGAACTCGAGTTAAAGGGAAAAGTTAAACTCGAGTTTAGCCTCAAACTCGAGTTCAAACTCAAATTTTACAAAAGAACATAAATTTAAATAAAGTTATAACTCGAATTTAAACTTTTTCTGAGTTTTGTTGTAAAAAAAAACCCATTAGGGCCTGTTCTTTTAAAGTGTAACTTGAGTATAGTTTTTGAGTTGAATTTGAGTTATAATTTGAGTTGAAGTTGTAACTTGAGTTTGTGTTTAGTTGTGTACATTTGAGTTATGGTTTGAGATAAGAATCTTTTTTTGACTTTGTGTTTGAGTGAGTCAAAACTTAAATTTGTATTTAGATAGTATTTTAATAAAAACTCAATGGTGATGAAAAATTTTAATAAGGTATATGGGTAGCATTTTATTCGTCTTTTCGTTTTATTCGTCTTTTCGTTGTGAATGCATAGAAAAAAAATCATCTTATCTTGGAGATTCGCTAATAAAAATCATCTTATCTTAAAAAAAATCATTTTAAGAATAGAAAAAATATTGTTCATTAATTTGAATTCAAGTTTCTAAACTCGAGCTGAAGAGACACTTAAACTCAAGTTTTAATTCCAAACTCGAGTTCAAACTCTTATTCGTCTTTTCATTTTATTCGTCTTTTCGTTGTGAATGCATAGAAAAAAAATCATCTTAATCAGGATTAAAACAAAAAGTTATAGTATTTTTAAGAATAGAAAAAATATTGTTCATTAATTTGAATTCAAGTTTCTAAACTCGAGCTGAGACACTTAAACTCAAGTTTTAATTCCAAACTCGAGTTTAAACTCAAATTTTATAAAAAAAATATAAATTTAAATAAAATTATAACTCGAGTTTAAATTTTTTTAAAATTTTGTTATAAAAAAACAACCTATTAATTTCTCTTCTCTATTTCGCTTTTAGCCATGTCAGCTTTATCTTGGAGATTCGCTATTTCATTTGCTCCACTTTTCCGTTCTACAGTTCCCTCGAGACCCTTCAAGTCTCACGAACGTCATCGTTTTCTCTTCCATTCATATTTGTCCCGACACGTTCCATTGAATCCCACCTCTATTTTCAATCCAACGGATTGAGATACTGCCGGATGAGAAACGGTATTGTTAAAGTGCCGGATTGAAGAGTTATCCTAATACTATAAATGCTCTTCTTATTTAAAAATAAATAACTTGAGTACATGTTTACCTTTCATATCTCCACTCCAAAATAGAAAGAAATATATATCTCAGCTAAAAATAATAAAAACAATTTGTACCGATTCAGCAATCTTGTTAATGGACAAGATTTCAAATGCAGATATAAAACGTCCAAAAAAAAAAAAAAGTCGTTTTGGCGGGAGAACATCGAAGTAACATTTAACACTAGTGCCGCGGATTTGGCATTCGAACGACAGGCTTTTAAGCCCCAAAACCCATAATACATACCAATACTCGCTCCTTTAAACCACCATCTACAACTTCGGTAAACCTTATATGGAAAATGTTCCAAATGCAGTTTTTATAAAACGTAAACAAAAAAAGGTTATCATTTTGGTGGGAGATCATCAAATTAACATTTTAACACTAGTACCACCAATTTGACGCAAATATTCTTTTCAAAGTTCTAATACTTTCTCTAACAAAAACGTACCAAGGATTAAAATTCTTTAACTTGGGTTGAAACAAACATACCCAAAAAAACTTTGAACGCCTGATTTCAAATGAATATTTTCCCCCAAAATTCATAATACAAATTAATAAGATTTAAATGGTCTTCCATAATCCATTAAAGCCTGAACTTGAAAGTGTGATATATAGTATGATTGACATCTAAAAGTAAAATGGTCGTCCATTTAATCCAGATTAACAATGACAAATGCAAACAAAAGACAACAATAACAAGGACAAATGGTCATCAAATGTTTCAGCATTCTCATTTACTATCTAAACCCCACATTAAAAATGAAAACAGAAAGTCACAAAAGATGGAAAATAAAACGAATAAGCAAAAAATAAAAATCTTTGGATTAACAAAAGATAATCGTATTCACAATCCCTAAACTGAACCCCTAGCTAATATCCTAATCCAAATAGAATCATACAAACAGAAAGACGCTAAACTAGGTAAAAAGAAAAGAGAAAAAGCCCTAAAAGATTAATAAGATTTGAAGTCCGATCCATTGATGGACAGTGGAAGCAGAAGGATCTGACCCATTGATGGATAGTGGAAGCAGAAGGAACATTGTGTGAGAAATTAGGGCTTTCATCTTCTTCTACAACTTCTTGAATTGCTTAAGAATCATCATCGCCGCCTGCGGCCTTGGAGGAAGCGCCGGTCTTCTTAGGGAGGAGGAGGTTGTGGATGTTGGGCATCACACCACCATTAGCGATCGTGACGTCACCGAGAAGCTTGCTGAGCTCCTCGTCGTTTCGCACCGCGAGCTGGATGTGGCGCGGAACGATTCTTGTCTTCTTGTTGTCTCTTGCGGCATTTCCGGCCAGCTCAAGAACCTGAAATGCACAGAAAATTCATCAAGATTGGCGAAAATGAAATCTAGAAAGCAAAATTATGAAATTGGCAGAAAACTGCCAAACAAACAACAACATTGACCCTAGTTCAAGGAGATATACCAAATTCCGATTGAAATTTCAAAATTTCTTTGAGAAATTAGCTTTTCAAAATTGTATTATAAAAGAAAAAAAATTTATATATTTAATGAAAAAGGAAAAACTGAATCCAAGATTAAAAATCACAGTAGCAATTTCTATTCAAGAACACCAACAATTTCAAAATTAATGAAAACGTCCTATACAATTTCTCGGAAAATGTTAAATTCCGCAACATTTGGGAAAAATTCGAAACCCTAACCCTAGATTCAGAACACGACCGATATACACAAAACCAAAAGAATCGAACCAAAAGACATAGAGATAGAAAGAGAAGTTAAATACCTCAGCGGCAAGGTATTCGAGGACAGCGGCGAGGTAGACCGGAGCTCCGGCGCCGACACGCTCGGCGTACTTGCCGGCCTTCAAGAACCTCGCGATACGCCCGACGGGGAATTGCAGACCGGCCTTGCTACTCCGGGAGGTGGCCTTCTTGGCGGCTCCAGATCCCAAGGTTTTTCCCCTACCCGCCATTGACGAAGCTTCACGGACGCTAGAGAGAGATCGAAGGGAAGAGCCAGAGAGTTGGATAGAAACAAGCAGATCGTGGCTGAGAGATGGGAAGTTAAATGAGAATTGAAGGTGAGTTGAGGCGGATTTTGGGTATATATAGCGAGCGGGGCTTGAATCGAGCCAATCAGAGAAAACTGGGCGGATCGTGATTGAGAACCGTTGGACTGAGAAGATGATTGACGGTAGAGATTTGTTTAAACCGCTTTTGCTCTTCGCGTTGATTTGGATTGCGTGACAACATGGGTGTTGGATTTACGAGATTGCCCTTGTGATATTGCTTTTGTGGAGATTAATTCCTGTACGGTTGTCCTCATTGTATGCGGTATGTATTTCAAGCTCCATAAGCAATTATCTCCCAACTTCGGTTTTTTTTTTTGCCCCCACAAATTTGAAAAACTTTTAATTCTCTCCCCTAAACTCCAAACGTTAATAACAATCCACCCATCTCGTCATTTAAATAGACAGATAATATGTTGTGGCATTAAAACTTTTCATACCTTTTCACTTTGCCCTTAATTTTTGAAATAGGTCACCACCTCGCACCTTGCGACTTTGCCCACCACTATTAACCAACCCACGCCACGCCCAAGAACACCCCTCTTTTCGCACAACTCTGGCATGCACGAGATCTCCTCATCCTCAGCAAGAGATCCCAATGATGACATTGGCTTGTGTGAGATCCCAAAATGAAAATATGGATGTTCGTAGAAATATCTCTACTTAAATTTGACAAATATATCGGTAAAAATATTGATATCTGTAGAAATTGGTGTAAAAAAAAGAGAGAAATGTTGGTTTTTTTTTTTTTTTTTAAATTTGAATGGATGGTTGAAATTAAAATATTTTAAAGATGCTTTGCAGCATTTTGAAAATGAGAATGTTGAAAATATCAGAAGTTAAAAATATCGGTACTGAAAAAATTGCGTCCATTCATTCCAAGATCCTGGATAGTGTGACACCAAAAATTGATATGGAGTTTGAAACAGAGGAAGACGCTTAAAACTTTTATAATGATTATGCTTGCAAAGTAGGTTTTAGTATTCGGAGAAATAAGGGACGTAAAGATACTAGTCTTGGTAAGATGATGAATAGAACATTTTGTTGCTCTAATGAAGGTAATGGTCAAGTAGATAAACGGCGACTTATTGTAAAATATCCTCGTGCTGAAACAAGGTTTGGTTGTCTTGTAAGAAAGAAAATCAATTGTTGCCAAACTGGTAAATATCGTGTTGTCGAGTTTATTGCTGCTCATACACATGTGACTTCAAGCCCTAACAAGAGTCACTTGTATAGGTCTCAAAGGAGATTGACTGCCACCAAAGCAGCTGAAAATTGATTTAGCAAACAACTCAGTAATTGCTCCGAGAGCGAGAGCTGCGAATTAATGTACTCTCATTTTGGTGACGTTGTTTGCTTTGACACAACTTATAAGAAAAATCAAGAAGGTCGGCCTTTCGCTATGTTTGTTAGGGTTAACCATCATAAGCAAACTACTACTTTTGGAGTTGCGCTTCTATGTGATGAGACAATAGAAACATTTATTTGGTTGTTTGATACTTTTGCTCAAGCAATGACAGGAAAAAAACCAACGACAATTCTTACCGATCAAGATGCAGCAATGGCAAAAGCACTAGCTTTCCAATGGCCAGAAACAACTCATCGCCTATGCATTTACCATTTATATCAAAATGCTGCAAAGCATCTTAATGGAGTTTTTGAGCGCTTTCGGGAATTTTCTACATATTTTAGTCGGTGTATATATGATTATGAAGAAGAGGAAGAATTTTTGGAAGTTTGGCATGGGATGCTTGAGAAATTTCATCTTCAAGATAATGAATGATTAAAGTGAATTTTCAGTTTCAAGGAGAAATAGGTGTTCGTCTATGGTAGGAATACCTTTTGTGCATATATGATGACTGTTGGAAAATACGACCTCGAGTATGCAGTAGAATTTTAAAAAAATTTAAATCAATGCCAAAGCCAATCAAGAACATGTTCATGATGCTATATAACATAAATACTAAAGATCTAAATCATACCTTTCGAGATTTAGGAAACTGCACGTTTGATAGATCAAAGCGTTCCAAACAGCAACCGAAACAGCCTCAACCAACTGGTCTTCTTGAGAATTAAATAATTTTTCCTCTCAGGAATCTTTTGCCAATAGCCCCCCAAAAGTCTCTTAAGTGATCTAATGAATAATGTGACTTAATAGGCTATTTATAGTATTTAGGAAGTCATATTTCCATAACAATTATATTTCTCAAAGTTTATCTCACTTATAAAGTCAGTTTCGCCACGTCAGCATGCGTTACACGTTACAACCAATCGACCGGTGACGGAGATGTTATAACTGTTAGCGTTTATGTTCTTAGGAATAAATGTAACGATGTTCTTTTAGAAATTTTGACTATTAATAAAGATTTATTTATTTCATATATCTATGTATTTTCCTCTTTATGTTCATAATAGTTCAATGTATGATGAGCAAACTAAAAGTCTGAGACTGTCATTCTAAATCTTTAGATCATGCATGTAATGTGAAGAACATGTGGAAGACAAGAATCTAAAGATGATAGTCTAAATCATATGATCCACAATCGATGGAATAAAGTTGGGCGCTTTATTCATGTTAAGATTCTCATGTTGTCTACTTCCTAACGGAGACGGTTTGTCTTGGTCGTCGGAGATGGGACTCCATGGGTAGAGACATTGATATAGTTTCTAATGGTGAAATCTATATTGGATCGGACCAAAGTTGAATTGTTGTAATTAATAATTCTGTTTGAGTAAAACAATTCACTTTTGACGAATTATATGTGGTCATCTTAATCCTGAGATGGATAATGAACCCGTATGCTTGACTTGTATCATTTGATGTACTAAAGGGAGACATCCTGACATTATGTAAAGCTACGCTTACCGGTACATTGGGGGTATGACTCATGTATGCGTAGATTCGTTCTTTATAGATAATGGAATCCATAGCTCCAATAAAGAGTCCATGATATCCTCTTATGCATTATCAGTGGATTGAAAAATACAAGCGCTCGGCCATTAGACTACTTTGTGTTATCTAACGGTTTACTGTTTGTAATGGTACGAATAGTGGTTTTCTGATGGTGTGATAATGGAACGTAAGATAAATGTAATCAGGAAGGTAAAATGAAACTTGACCTCAAGTCGATTACGGATATCCTATGGGGATGATACACTAATATATTGAGTCATGAACTAGAGCTATTCAGAGCTTTGTAAATACGCTATATAAATCGAGAGTGCAGCTCTAGCCTTTTAGTGGAGTAGCGCTAAAGTTTTATAATCATGAGACAGACTTGTTGGTTTACAAGTAGCGTTGTGATTATAGGAGCTTGATTTATATATGTTCATCGGGTCCCTTTGCTAGCTCACATAATTTTCTATAACGAATTCACCCGATAAATCACTCATGAATTAATTATCAATCTCATATTAACTTTGAACCTTTTTTACATAAATAACACAAGTTACCAATATGTAAGAAATACACCGTATCTGTAACACTCTAAAGAATTAATTGAGATTAATTAAGGTAATTGAGATTATTAGTGTGCCTAATCTAATTTAATTAATTGAGTTTAAATAATTTCAAGGTATTTAAATTATTCACAGTAATTTATTTAATCTAGAAGTGTGTATGGGCGCATTTCTGGACTGTTATATTTTACACATGTCACTTTCTTTTATTTTTCTTTTCTTTTCTTTTATTTTTCTTTTTCCTTTCTTTTCCTTCCTTTTCTTTTTCTTTCCCGTGCATTTCTCTCTCTCTCTCTCTC